GTGGCTGGCCGTGCTGGGGGGTCTGCTGGCGGGCAGGGCTCGGACTGGGGCGGGGGGACTGGTGGGTAGCGGGGGCAGCAGGCTCGTTGCGCCTTGTGGCATGCGTGCGCCTGTAGCAACACCTGTCCTCCTCGGTGGTGGCTTTCTTTCTTTCTTTTTTTCTTTTTTTTTTTTTTTTTTTCCCTTCTATTGCCTTCCCTTCTCCCCCTTCCTCCCACCCCTACCCCCCTTTTTTTTTTCTTTTTGTCTTTCTTTTCTTATTCTCTGAAACGATTGCCTTCATGCTTGTGTTCGCTCGTCAAACCATCTGATGGTCATTGCCCTCCGCAGAGCCGAGGTGAGGCGCGGCAGAGAGCGGCCGCGCGGAAATGAACGGAGTGGAAATGATGCGGAGGTTAAAGAAACACGGAGGGTGGGGAAAAATGCGCTTTTCTATTGTTCGTCTCTGTTTCGCTTACCCACATGCAGATAAAGGCGTAATTGGAACGCATTTCACAGAATCACTGAATGGCCAGGGTTGGAAGGGACCTCAGGGATCATGAATCTCCAACTCCCTGCCGCATACAAGACCACCAGCCTCCACATTTAGTACTAGAGCAGGCTGCCGAGGGCCCCATCCAATCTGCCCTTGAACGCCTGCAGGGACAGGACATCCACAACCTCTCTGGGCAGCCTGTTCTAGTACCTCACCACTCCCACATTAAGCTTTGTTCCTCCTTAAAGAGGCACTGAACGAAACTTCCTGCTACAAATCCTCAGGTGCTGCTCTTGTGATGGCACGCGATAATCATTTAGTGTTTTTTGTCCTGGTTGTGTGCCAATGGCTGATTGGTCTCAAGGGCCAGAAGGAGGAACCTCCTGACCAGTTGGAGTCTTACGGCTTGCCCACAGAGCCGTGGAAAGGCACTGTGTGGGAGAGGAGAGCTCCTGTGAGGGCAGCCTGGGTTGGGTCAGCAGGGCGCTTCCCGAAGGGAATACATCAGTCTGCAAACACAGATGCTCCCCCAAACAATAGGTATAAATCCAGCAAGCCTTTGTTTACTCCTGCATGTTTATTACATAATTTTGCAAGGTAGCGAATAGTTCTGAGGTTACTTTATAGTGCAGAAGAAACTTGTTTTTTTTTCCTCTTCTTTGACCATATTAAATCTGCAGTAGTTATCCTAATTGTAAAATAAATACTGGCTGGGTATTTTACTTTGTGTTTATTAATTTTTACTGCAGAATAGAATGTATGTAAAATAGTCTGTGCAAGAGATGTGGTAACTGTCATTGCCATGAATGTTGTGGAGGTGTTTTGCATTTTATACTTTGCTAAATGGTACGTTACGTGAGGATGATCATCACCGTAAGCGTTCTGTTTGTAAATGGCAAGCAGGCAGAAATTTTAAGTCTCAGAACATTCTGTTACAGCCCTGGCTTCCTCAAAGTCACTCACTCTTTACCCTTTCTAACATCTTTGCAGCTAACTTTTCTGAGCAAGTAGTTGAAAGCTTTCCATCTGATATCTCTACTGGTATATACTATGGATGGGCCTGTGTTGGAAGTGGAGATGTGCATAAAATGGTTTTGAGCATAGGATGGAATCCATTCTATAAGAATACTAAGAAATCAGTGGTAAGAACTTTAATTTGTGTGGTGCTTTTAATTATGATGAATGAGGCAGATGTTGGTTTTAAACAAGATAAGCAGCATGTGACTCATAAATGATACCTAGAAATTATGTTTGCTCTTAGAAATGCATTTGGTATCAGCATCCTTTCTTTGTGTTCTGAAAAGCAAATAGGCTGAGTGGTCAGAGAGTATATAGCTGTAGATAAATAACATTTATTTTTTGTCCTATTCCGCCATTGCTTGGATATTTCTAAGATCAGAATTTAATTATTTCTGAAATGGTGATTGCTTTTGGTGCAGATTCTTCTCTTCTGTAACAGAATCCAGAGATGTGGTGCTGTGTCTTGGCATAATAAATTAATATTCAAAACTGCATAATAGTAGAACGGAGAATTAAAATTTGGAACTCTGATGGTTGTTTTTTCTTGTTGTCAGTTCCCTGGTGCTTCTCCCAGTTCTTAAGAGCAGGGCTCTTAATTGTTGAAAACACTTTTATTTGGGCAAGAATCTCTGGAGTGGTGCTTAGTCTTACCAGCAAACATACTCTAAATTTTTTGCAACCACTTTTTCTGAGCAAGGTGTGGGATGGGGAGTCCTATCCCAGCCTTTGCTCCTGGAATTCTGTTATTCAGTTCCCAGAATCTGATCATTTAAAGCTGGTTGTAAAAGCTGTCCGTAAGTCAGCTGTTTCAATTTCAGGTCTTCATAGTTCTTTCATCAACTTGATGATGAAGCGTTAAGCTTTCTCTGTGATTTAGAATAGTATCATAGAATCACAGAATGGCCTGGGCTGAAAAGGACCACAATGATCACCTAGTTTCAACCCCCCCCTGCTATGGGCAGGGTTGCCAACCACCAGACCAGGCTGCCCAGAGCCACATCCAGCCACAAGGGATGTGCCACATGGGGCATCCACAACCTCCTTGGGCAACCTGTTTCAGTTTTTTTGGGTGCTTTGCAAATACTATTTGCTGTTTTGGAAATACTAACTCTGGGAAATGGTGAGAAATCGTGGCTTTTCAGTTACTCTCTTCTTATAAAATGGCAATCAGAAAACTCTGAGGTGAATATTTTATAAATCCCATGCAAAGTACAATTCTCCTTCTTTAAAAAAAAAAAAAAAAAGGAAAAAAAAAAAAAAAAGCCCTAGCCTCTTAGTATTGCATTATAGATGTTAAACTGAATGTCTCTGTTCTGTTATATGTGCTGCAGATAATTTGACTTACAGGTGTTAGATAAACATCCTTACGGTAAGGGGAAATAAGCTGTAAGTCCATTGCAAATGCCAACTTATTTCTTTTCCTTTAGGAGACGCACATTATCCACACCTTCAAAGAAGACTTCTATGGAGAAATTCTTAGCATAGCAATTGTTGGATATATTCGACCAGAAAAGAACTTTGATTCCTTAGGTCAGTATTGCAGGCCACTCTAGAATTACTTTCTTAAGTTTTACTTACTCAAGTGCTGTTCCTTTGCCATCTGTTTCTTCATAATTAGCTGCTTTACCTGTTATCATTTGAAATTTCAGTACAGTGTTTTCATCAGATAATGTGTAAGTTAAATTAAAACAAAGAAAAAAAAGCCTTCCTGCATCTTACTTTAGTCTAAATTTCAGTTGCCTGAGGAGTAATGTCAAAATCATGAGGTTGTCGTAAAAGCGTTGGTCTGACCTGCTCACTTTTTAAGATGCAGCTCTGATAGGTTTTAAACAGTTCAGCAAGCTCTGTTGATCTTTTTCTAAAATTCCTTTCGGATGAGAGAGATAGCAGTGCTTACATTGGTGGAAAATGCAACTCTGACGTGTTTGAAAACAAAAAATGTTGCCTTTGAAACCTTGCAGTAATCACTATATTCTTCCTCTGTGATTTTCTGATATTCTGTAGAAGAAGATGTTTTTAGTTGTTATTTTGTGTGCAGCTTTTAAACATCCCTGTTTTTGTTTGCAGATGCACTGATTGCAGCAATTCAGGAAGACATTGAAGAGGCAAAAAGGCAACTAGATTTACCAGAACATCTTAAACTCAAAGAAGACAACTTCTTCCATCTGCCAGGGGGCAAAATAGTTGACAACCACTGAAAAAAAAAAAAGAGCAAACCCTTGCTGCTTTTTTTTTTTTTTTTTTTTTTTTTTTTTGCGGAGCTCTTACATTTGCACTGTTTATGTAGGTACCATGTTCTCATATTTTTTGGGGTAATGAGTTTGGAACCAACTCAAAACTGAGTCATGTAAATGGATTAAAAGCTGTCTTAGGTCTTTATTGATAAATTGTCTATCCTAAAGTTGGGACACGTGGAACATGACCAAAGTTAATTATGGCCTCTTCAGCCTTAGGATATGTAGAGTTCATTTTAGAGAAGAGTGTCAGTTTTTAAGATGGAGTTTATTCCAACCTCTTTTCCCAATTTTATATCATTCTGACATTGGCGTTGTAGGTAGTAACTTAGAAAATTTTGATACCGAGCAAAACATTTCCTGTGGTACAGGAAGCTGATGATTAGCCAACAAGAACAATTCTCCATGGTTCTTGTTTTTTTCTAATATGCTGTACAGCCATTGTAGTTGAAACTATCATTTCAACTGAAATTATTTATTTTAACTTTATTTGAAATAAAGGTAGTCACTGTTGCTCACTGAGTTACTGGAATCTGTACAGTTGAAAGTGCATGTGACAGTGCATGACCTCTGTAGCTTCCTTCTGAGGGAGTGTATTGCTGAAATTCAGGAAATGAATGACAAGATGAAAGTTGGCACGCTCTGAAGTTTTAGGCTCTAAAGTCGTGGAAGTCTTGCAAAAAGACTTCTCTTCTTTGGGAAGATCTAAGGCAGAAGAACTGCATTTTATTTGCTGCTGGTAGTTTTCTTAGATGAGGAGAACCTTAGGGTTTTTCACTATACTAACAATATAATGGCTGACTTCATGATTAAAGTTAGTGTAAGGCACAGAAAAATCCCATCAACCCTCTGGGCCAAGTGTAGGTAAGATCCATGGCTTCGTTCACTGAGTAGTCAATACAAATGAAAGCCTTGGGGAACTCGTGAAGTAATGTATCAACATTATAGTAGGAATTGGGTATTGTTACAAGTAATTGCACTACTCCCTACTATGAAATGTATGCACAGATAAGCAGAGGAGCTTTCTCAAGATGAATTGGAGTTTGAATAGTACTACTTGAAGTACATACTGTGAGTCCAGATATAAATGTATTTCTTTCCCTGTAGATTTTTCTATCCCCTTCTCGGTGAGGGGAGCTAGGTAAGTCGCCACAACTGTTTCATCTTCATATTCAATACTGGCTTGTGACATAGCAGGAATATTTTCTGACATTCAAAATAATTCTGTGGATGTGTCTAAATTGTAGTTCTGTGACAGAACTGTAATTTGGGGGTGCGCAGTTCCTGTAATACAACTTTATGAATTCACTCCTTGTCCTGGTCTGTTTGGATACTACATTTTGGTTGAAGGCTTAAGAGGGTTTTAACTAGATAGCTTGCTTTGTCTTCTTTGTGGCAAGTGCTATTACGATGCTAGTTCCACTTCGTGTTGTTTTAACTTTCAGCCAGTATCAGGGGATATTAGTAGGGAAGAGGCCTTGAGTGAATCAAGGAGACTTGTTAGCTATGTAGAAATTATACAGAAACTTGAAATCATTTATATGAATTGTTCATCTGTTGTGTTGATAGCAGACAGAAGGAATTCAGGGGGCACTCATTTCCATACAAGTACTTGTAGGAATAAAAATTTTGACCTGTGTTGCTAAGGTGGTTTACGTGCTTCTCTCCAAAGATGCCAAGTTTTGTTGTCTGGACATTAAACGCACATCTGCCTTCCTCCTCAGAGAGTCTTAGGAAGAAAATTCACTCATCAGCAGTTAGGAATGCTGTCTTTGGAAGAAGAGTGCAATTGGAGTTCTGTATAACTTGTTGGGAATTGTATGTAAGCCTCTGTAAAAATTGTTGTGTAAGCGTGACAGTTGATTTTTTTGATTTTTTTAAAGGAGAATATATTTAGGTGAAGGTTTGAGGTATTTTTAAGTTGTAAAATTTTGACATTATTACATTTTACTATTTCGGGGATGAGTAAATAATAGCCACTCTAGTCAACAGAATGTGCTGTCATATATATTCAAAGAAAAAAAGCAGGTATTTATCATAGTACTGTAGCTGAACTCTATAATAGCCTCTTTATTTTTTTCTCCAGTTAATGTGTCTGTTGTGGAAACCTTAGTGCCTTAAGCTGGTTGTCTGAGTAATGCATTTCTGTATCGGCCAATTAATGATACTATCCAAAATTTGTTCTGGCTGTAGAACCACTGCACTGTGGAGAGAGAACAGTGAGAAAGAGAAACTTTGAAAAACAAGTGGTTTGCTCTCAACTCTCATCTGAAGTGTGACAAGTGTTTACAACAGACTAATAAACTGGTCTTTGTATGTTTGTCATCAAATTAAAGAAAACGTTACTAGATCCATTTGGTTGAGTGTATCTGTCTGTCCATGTTATTTAAGATAAAATGTTATATATCAGCTGTTAAAGCTCAGTACTTAAGTCCTAGCACAGTACAAATTTTAAGGGTTATATTTTTATATTATATACAAACTGTATTTATTTCAGTTGATGTTACTGCACTGTACTATTAATAAAGGAATTGAAATACTCAGAGTTCTTCTCGTCATAGTTTTCCTGACTATCTGATCACTCAGTATCTGATGCAAATCTTCTTTGTGTATTCCTAAGAATGTTCTGAAAGAGGTACTTCAGATTTATTTAATTACCCTGCCTAAATTTTTGTTTTCAGCAGAGAAGTTTGTTCTTGCATTACAAGCTACAAGTGTGGCACAGAGGGGTTTCTTTTAACAGTTTTAGTGAACTAGAAGGCCACTTACATTTCTGGAGTCTGAGCAGTACAAATATTTTCAGTTTCAAATACACATTCTCATGTAGAAAACAAGTTTTTTCTTTCTCCCACCTTCTTTTGTTCTGAAACGAAATACAGTTATACAGTATCTGGTATAGGTGGTTACTTTCTTAATTGAGAGCGTTCCTATAAACAGATATGGAACATATATTGTAGGTGTCCTTAATTTGGGACGATGTATTGATGTATTTGGGATGATATAGTGATCCTCACAGGGCAACCCATCAGCACCACGGTCAGCCTGAGTAAGCACTGTGCAGCAGAGCAGTGGCCTTGAGCTGTGCCTTGCAGCACGCGTCCTGTGGCTGCAAGGCAAACTCAAGCAGATTGTTGGACTGGAGGGGCCTGAAGGCAGCTTCCCTTCAGTATCACCTTCCCAGCTTCGCCTCACAACAGTGCTGATGAGAACATCCTTGATGTTCCTTTATATCCTGATGAGAGCTGTTGTCTTGCAAGACAAACAGAGCTGGAATGATGGTACCTGGTGAGTGATCTCCCTGTCCTTACTTCAACCCAGAGCTTTTATTTTTCTCATCATATCTTTTCTCATTTTGAGAAGAAGTGATGTAGGAGTGCTGAACTGCCCACTGGTATGAAACCATCACAGATAAGTGTAGAACCTGAACTATTCCTGAAAAAAACTTTATCAAAGTGCTGAATACATTATATGAAAGAGGAACAATAAAAGAATACTTATTTTCCTTTTTAGTGTTCAGGAGACTACAAAGACATGTGAAGAAACATGCACTTGTTTTGTTGGTTAAGGAGGTGTTGCTCCTGTGAGTGTTAACCCTGGTTAAACCTGTTGTGAAAAGGAACATATAAAACATAAGGAGTATTTCAAGACAAATACATATTTCTTTGTCATGAAAAAAACAAATGTCTCAATTCTGTTTGAAACAGTTGTAAGGTAAGTTAAGCAGTTGAGCTTTTCATCCCTGGAGGTGTTCAAGGCTGTGTTGGATGGGGCCCTGGGCAGCCTGATCTGTTGGGGGGCAGTCCTGCCTGCAGCAGGGGGCTGGAATTGGGTGATCTTCAAGGTCCTTTTCAACCCAAGCCATTCTGTGACTGTATAATTCATACATCTGTTCCTCTTTCTGGTTTGAAATTCTAGCCTGAGTTCTTAGCCAGAAGTCTTGTAATAGTCATATAAGAACCACAGTTACACGGACCATATGCTATGGTAATGCAATCTGATTTAGGGAGTTGTCTGTAATGGAAGTTGGCTTTGGCCTTAAGGCATGTAAACTCCTATCAGCTATTTCACATCCTTTCTTGCAAACCTCCAGAACAGTCAGGGAAGAGGTATTTTTTTCCCCATTTATATACATTCCATTGGATAGGGAGTGGGTAAAGTGTGCTGGTAACTCCCATTTCCCATTAAAATCAAATTAGTTACATGAGAGGTAAGTGGGTGGTAAAATTGTGCAACAAGACATGAATTTATGTAATCTTCTTGAGAGGCCATTATTAATGAGAGAGTAATGAGAGATAATATCTAGGAGAAAGGGAGAGTACAACTTCTTGGAAAAGAGCCTGAGGCTTGAGAAACTCCATGGGTTCAGTAGAATAGCAAAGAAAGAGGTACAAGGAGATGAAAGAAGAGAAAAATAGGCCTTGAGATGAAGAACAGCTCGAGAAGTAAGAAACAGAAATTTACCTATGATATATGCAGTGTGAGGCTGTAACTGCTAGGAAACAGATGAAAGAGATGCCATAGCAGGTCGGTTTTGTTTGTTTGTTTAAATGTTTTTGTTTCCTTCAGGATATTCTTCTCAGTGTAGTAGGTGAATCACAGAACCACAGAACTGCAGAGATTGAAAGGGACTTCAAGAGACCATCTAGTCCAAACCTGCTAAAGCAGGTTTCCTACAATGGGTCTTGAATATTTCCATAGAAGACTCCACAACCTCTCTGGGCAACCAGTTCCAGTGCTCTGTCACCCTTACTGTAAAGAAGTTCTTCTGCATATTTGTAGGGAATTTCCTGTATACAATTTTTAGGCCATTATTCCTTTCCTGTTGCTGCACACCACTGAGAAGAGCCTGGCTTCATCCATTTGCCTCCCAGCTCCCTGTAGATTATTTATAAACATGAACCAGATACCCACTCAGTCTTCTTTTACTGAGGCTGAACAGACCCAGGTCACTCAGCTTTCCTCATAAGGGCTCCAGGCCCTTTATCATCTTTGTGGCCCTTCATTGGACTCCTTCTAGAAGATCCCTGGTTGTTTTTTTTTTTTTTTTTTTTTTTTTGAACTGGGGAGCACAGAATTGGACATACTATTCTAAACGTGGCCTCCCCAGGGCAGAGCAGAGAGGGAGCATCACCTCTCTCCACCTTGGCCATGCTCTTTTTAATGCACCCCAGGCCAACCTGTTGCCCATGAAAGAGAAGGCATGAAAAGAGAGAGATAACATTAGCTTTTTTGGCGTCTAAGGATTTGTGGATTTGAACAGGTGTGAATTTTAATTTCTTTACCATTTTTTTTCTCCCCAAGACAGTGTAAAAGATGGTATTTTAGTTCCTTTTGTGCTATATCCTACACTACTATTACTTCTTTGCACTGCTTCCTGTGAAGATCTCTTCAGCAGTGTCAGTGAGTCATTGACTGTCAGTGGCTCTTAGACAGAAGACAGATTTTATCTTTATCATTCTTGGTGATCTCCCTATGCACTCTCAGCAGGCAAAGGGAGGCAAAGGGAGGGAAATACCCTATAATGTTCATATGAATCTGTAGGTCACTAGTTTGGGCACCCCTGAATGCTATTTTAAATCTGCTTCTTCAAAATAAATAAATACAACCAAACTTTTTCACAATTCTCTTCCTTACGTGATGTCTTCCTAATGTTATTCATTGGATATTTTTTGCTGTCTCAATAACTTTCAAAGGAACTATCTGCCACCTTGTAAAGGTGGGCATTTTGATTCTATGCATAAAACATACAGTCATCTTCCTGCTGTGTCTTGAGAACTGGCTTCTCATCTGAGCAGCATTTGAGCAGCCAAAACCACTGCATTTGGAAAGGAGATGTCATACCACTTCTCTCCTAATAAATCTTTTTCCTAACAAATGTATCAGCTTTGTACCACAAGGTTTTGAAAGCTTATCCCCTACTTTGTGACATCTGGGATCCCTGACAGCACACTAAAAGCTCCAAAAGCCAGAAAAAAAACACCTATCAGACTGAAAAAATGGAAGCATGTGCAGCCATTAAAACAAGGTACCTCTATAAAGAAGTGGTATTTGAAAAAATTTCAGATGCATATCTAAAAATGTAACTTTGTTCCAGTCTTACTTGTACAAAGTTAGACAAAATTCTTCAAAGAAACAAAGTTTAAATTTATGGGTTGTTTTTTTTTGTTTGTTTGTTTTTGTTTGCTTGTTTGTTTACCTTTGGAGAAACTTCATATATAGAACGTCACAGAATAATGACGTTTGTCTGAGAGCCCATAAACGAAAATCTCATTTTACCAGCTTGCTGTGATTTCAGGCACAGGTTGAGTTTCAATTATGCCTTTGAAATCTGTTAAGGAGTGGGTTATGCTAAGCCACTAAGCCTCTAACAGTAATAAAGTGTAACATTAATCCAAGTGAGTGTAGGAATGTATTCACAAAGACCCTTTTTCAAAAACGCCTTTTAAATATATTTTTCACCTTTGTTTCTTCCTTCTTTATATTTACTTATTTATTTATTTATTTTGTCTTGTGGGTAAGTTTGAAGCAGTGTTTGCGTAAGCTACAATGCGCATATATAAGCAAATGTACATAAGTAAAGTGCTATAATTTAATAATAGGAGCAGCCAAGCAGAAAATCATGAACAAGTAAAGTTATCTAAAATAATAACTTTTATTCAAGCGCATCTTCTTTACTGTTCTTCAGAGACCGTACTTAAATTTATAATGGGCTATTGCTATCCTGTCTTATATATGCCCTATCATCTTCTTCATCATCATCTTCATCTTCCACCTTCATTTCCATCATCTATCACTTGATCTTCCCAATCCTGATAGCTTGTTCTCTTGTAGCAGTTACTGTAGTGGGAAGGACAGGCTTTGGAGTGAGCTATCAGCTTCTCCTATCCACTTCTATTGGCAGCTGCAGTTTTGGCCTGCATTTTCTCCAGACAAGTATAACATCTCCATTAAGAAGTTAAATTAGGTAATAGCAAAGAATGTGGTCTAGCTCACCCGAGAAACATAAATTACCCAGAAATACTTTCATTTTTAGTTCTCTGGTGTCTGGAAGGATTTGAAGACAGTTTGTGTTGCTGCAGCCTGCTTTTTCCATCTGTATCACTTTGGTCTAATGAGCACACTCCTTCTCTCTACAGATCTTGTGTGTGTAATGCTATAGCAACTTCAAATGATTTTGACATGGTCATTCAGATTTCTGTCCATTGAAACCAACACTTACCAATCAACTGGCTTATGAAATCAGGGACATTTAAAACAATAACTGTCAGAGAGGGTGGCATCTCCAAACCAGTAGCTGTTATTTGAGTAAAGTCCTTCCAATCCTGGTGGTGGAGCAGTGGAAATATACTGTGTACTTGCAGCTCAAAAGCATGTTTTTGCTATGTTCTGCTTTCCATTCTTAAAGGTCAGTCCAGTAAGCCATAAGGCACTGCTTTCAGGATGGTGCTACCTTGTGTTCTGCCGCAGTCGTAGCACTGGGCTGTCTGCCAGCTACTGCAGCAGCTGTCAGGAGCACAGAACTGCATGCTGGCTGGATGCAAGAAA